CTGTCGTTTCTCTTTGCTTATTTGAGCTGTTCTTGCCATTATATGGACTTGGTATTTTACCAAATAGGGCTATCTTCTGTATATCCCCCCCTACTTTGTCACAACACCACTGATTGGCTTAAACACATTAAGAAGGAAAGAAATTCCACAAATTAACTTTTAAGAAGGCACACTTGTTAATTGAAATGCATTCCAGGTAACTACCTCATGAAGCTGGTTGACAGAATGCCAAGAGTGTGCAAAGCTGTCATCACGGCAAAGGGTGGCTATTTGAAGAATCTCAAATATAAAATATATTTTGATTTGTTTAACACTCTTTTTGTCACACCCTGGCTATGGGACTCTAGTTGTTGAGCCAGGGTGTGTTTGTTCTATGTGGTGTATTTCTATGTTGGGGGTTCTAGTTCGTCTATTTCTATGTTTTGCCTGAGTGACTCCCAATCAGAGGCAACGAGTGTCAGCTGTTGGCTGGTTGTCTCTGATTGGGAGCCATATTTAAACTGTCAGTTTTTCCCTTTGTGTTTGTGGGTTTTTGTTCCGTGTTCGGTCATTGTCACCGTGGACGTTACGAGTCGTTTATTGTTTTGTTTCGTGCTTTAATATAATAAAGTAACATGTTCGTTCATCACGCTGTGCATTGGTCTACTTCTCTCCCTGACGTTCGCGACAGAAACACCCACCATACCAGGACCAAGCAGCGTGTCCAGGAGCAGGCAGCCTGGACATGGGAGGAGATATTGGACGGGAAAGGGTCCTGGACCTGGGAGGAAATCCCGCCGGCCATGGAGTGAGACGGTGGAGAGGCGACGGAGAGAGGAGCAGCGGCGTCAGCAGGGTCAACGTCGGACAGGCGAGAGGCAACCCCAAAAAATGTTTAGGGGGGGGCACACGGCAGGGGCGACTAGGTAGCAGGAGGCTGCCACAGGGCGATTAGGTGAGGAGGCCACCAGGTTAAGGGGGCTACTGGCGCAGAGGGAGCAGGAGTTAGTGTTGCAGAGGATGGAGCATTTGGAGGCGATAAGGGAAAGGGTGAGAAATGAGGCACGGCGAGAGGAACTCGGTAGGCAGCTGAGGGAGCGGGGGGTTATGACGAAACCCAGTCCCGCTCCTCACACCAAGCAAGTGGTGTGCGTCACCAGTCCGGTCCGGCCCGTTCCTGCTTCCCGCACTAAGTGTACGGTGCACGTCGCCAGCCCAGTCCGGCCTGTTCCTGCCCCTCGCACCAAGCCTACGGTGTGCGTCGCCAGCCCGGCCCGGCCTGTTCCTGCCTCTCGCACCAAGCCTACGGTGTGCGTCGCCAGCCCAGCCCGGCCTGTCCCTGCTCCACGCACCAAGCCTACGGTGTGCGTCGCCAGCCCAGTCCGGCCTGTCCCTGCTCCACGCACCAAGCCTACGGTGTGCGTCGCCAGCCCAGCCCGGCCTGTCCCTGCTCCACGCACCAAGTCTACGGTGCGCGTCGCCAGCCCGGCCCGGCCTGTTCCTGCCACTCGCACCAAGCCAGGGGTGCGAGTCGTCACCCTGGTCCAGCCCGTTCCTGCTACTCGCACCAAGCCAGGGGTGCAAGTCGTCAGCCTGGTCCAGCCCGTTCCTGCCACTCGCGCCAGGCCAGGGGTGCGAGTCGTCAGTCCGGTGAGGCCCGTTTCGGCTCCACGCACCAAGCCAGGGGTGCGCATCGTCAGCCCGGTCCGGCCCGTCGCTGCTCCACGCACCAAGCCAGGGGTGCGAGTCGTCAGTCCGGTGAGGCCCGTTCCGGCTCCACGCACCAAGCCAGGGGTGCGCATCGTCAGCCCGGTCCGGCCCGTTGCTGCTCCACGCACCAGGCCAGGGGTGCGAGTCGTCAGTCCGGTGAGGCCCGTTCCGGCTCCACGCACCAAGCCAGGGGTGCGCATCGTCAGCCTGGTCCGGCCCGTTGCTGCTCCACGCACCAAGCCAGGGGTGCGAGTCGTCAGTCCGGTGAGGCCCGTTCCGGCTCCACGCACCAAGCCAGGGGTGCGTATCGTCAGCCCGGTCAGGCCCGTTGCTGCTCCACGCACCAAGCCAGGGGTGCGCATCGTCAGCCAGGTCCGGTCCTTTCCTGCCTCACGCACCAAGCCAGGGGTGCGCGTCGTCTGTCCGGCACAACCCGTGCCTGGGTCACCGGTGCCTAACCAGGTACCGGTCAACAGCTCCACTACTGAGTTGAAGCTAACCGCTCCTGCTACGTCCAGTCCAGCTCCAGCCAGCGGGGCCAAACCGGACCAGGGGCGCTATGGGGGGTTTGTTGGAGGGTGGTGGGCAAGCCCGGAGCCAGAACCGCCGCCGAGGAGGTATGCCCACCCAGCCCTCCCCTGTTTTGCTCTTTTTGAGGCGCGGTCGCAGTCCGCGCCTTTAGGGGGGGGTACTGTCACACCCTGGCTATGGGACTCTAGTTGTTGAGCCAGGGTGTGTTTGTTCTATGTGGTGTATTTCTATGTTGGGGGTTCTAGTTCGTCTATTTCTATGTTTTGCCTGAGTGACTCCCAATCAGAGGCAACGAGTGTCAGCTGTTGGCTGGTTGTCTCTGATTGGGAGCCATATTTAAACTGTCAGTTTTTCCCTTTGTGTTTGTGGGTTTTTGTTCCGTGTTCGGTCATTGTCACCGTGGACGTTACGAGTCGTTTATTGTTTTGTTTCGTGCTTTAATATAATAAAGTAACATGTTCGTTCATCACGCTGCGCATTGGTCTACTTCTCTCCCTGACGATCGTGACACTTTTGGTAACTACTTCATAGGTGTTATTTCATCGTTTTAATGTCTTCACTATTATTCTACAATGTAAAAAATAGTAAAAATAAAGAAAAACCCTTGAATGAGTAGGTGAGTCCAAACTTTTGACTGGTAGTATATATCAGGCTTACCCTCAAATTGTTGTTATTGTTCACATCATGCTCAGATACCATGTCATCTATATTCCAAGGAGACTCCCCCAGTTTCCTTTTACCTTATAGCAATGGGTTAACATCAGCCACGATGCTCTGTTGAAGAACCGCTAATCAGCTAGAAAACATTTGCTGCCCTTCTGGCAAGGTCAAAGGGGTCACGGTCCCTGGCTGAATGTCCAGTTCTATCCCCCCGCTCACCTCTAAACCCCGCTCGCCTCTAAACCCTGCTCGCCTCAGGGGCCCACAGGTCATGCAGGCATAATCACAGCACCCCCTGCATGCAGTCTGAGAGTCTCTCTAATCTAAGGCCCAGGGATGGGCCAGTCCATCAGTCTATCAGTCCGTCTGTCTGTTTGTCTGACAGGGCTTCCCTCCTCATCATACGAACCGCCTTGGCCGGCTCATATTGACTCAGAGACCCGGACCTTGGCTCCACATAGGGGGAAAGACGGCCTCTGAAACCAGCCTCTTGTTTGACCAGCTGATTGATCTGTTAACACTTGCCATTCGACATGTGTCCCTGAATTTAATTTCAGAATTAATTTATTGAGACGTGTGCAGTACAGGCATAATGTAGAGTGGACCGTTTGAGAGGTAGGGGGTGGAGGTAAGTAGCATTGCAATTCAGATGTTGTCTGCTGATATTGGCGTGTTGGTTTTGATTCATTTGTGCACTTTACCTCATTTGAGTAGGCTAGAAGAGCTTCAATCATACGGTATTTTCTCTGATGTATTACACACTTGATATACACTGCAATTCAGCTTTTAGACACTAATGTGTTCAAGATCAAATAAACCTTACTATAAACTACACACGTTAAAACTGTAGCTACATTTTAAGTCCCATTAATGCTGTCAAGTAGCCAGTTGCCAATAATTACAAAGCAGTGGAGGCTGGTGAGGGGATAGTAATGGCTGGAATGGAGTGGCTGGAATGAAACACGTTTCCATGTGTTCACTCCATTCCAGCCATTACTATGAGCCGTCCTCCCCTCACCAGCCTCCACTGTTACAAAGCTATAGGAGTTAGATTGATCTTCAATTATAAACGCCACCTGTTCAATGTGCACTATTAGATTAAGTATTGGTTACAATAACCAACCTGGATACACAGATACTGTAACTACAATATAGTATAACATGAGTAGAGAGAGAGACTTTCTTACTGTCATTTTATGACAGTGGGCTGTCGATTATAATAAAAACTGTTGAAAAACGCTTTTCACAGCTCATAAAGATTGTCAATTCGCTGCTATGTGGGTATTGTCAAAGGCGCAGAGGGCATTGCACTAGATGTTGCAGTCTATTCCACTTTCCACTTGAATGTTATCTCCAGTGCCCATAAAAAACAAGACAATGAAATGAGGTTATTCTCCAGTGCCGAAGACAAGCCCTGTTTGGATGTAGGAGCTGATTTGATGGACTCTCCCTCTCCCGCCAGCCGGTATGGTGGAGAGAAGAGAGAGGGCCTGTTTGGATATGCATCACAAAGGCTTCCTGCAGTATTGATCTGCAGTGGGTTAAGGCAGTCTATCAGCAAATGTCCCTCTCTCTGGGAAAAACAACAGCTGATTAAAAACACACAGCAGCCAGGCAGGCAGGAGGCTGCTGATGGCCGGTTATCTCAGCCCAAAGGTCAGTGTGTACAGATATAATCCACTTTCACTTAACAGCTTAATTTAAGTCACACCTCATGCTAATGCCGCCATTTGGCTATTATTTAACAAGAAGATGATACAGTATTGTACAGATGTTTTGCGCTCATGCTAAGAACAGCATCAGGCCTTGCAGACAGGAAGCTGAAGCTCTTTGATCTTGAATTGTAGCAAGCACTTGTGCTTCCTTTTTCCAACCACGACACTAAAACAGGTGCACCCAGGTTTGCTGCTGATGTAAGCAGTTATAACTGAGGTTCAGCACTAGTGTGTAGAACTATTTGCTCTTAACCATACAGACTGAAATAATAAACCTTTTTCAAAACTGAGAAAAGGCACTTTAATATATTTCAAAGATACATTTAATAAAATAACTTACAACAGGAGGGTACTGTATATTAATACTATATAAATGATAACAATATAAAATATAAACACCATTTTGCACAGTGTAAAGTTACTGGTAATCAGAAGACAAACCGTAAAAAAATATATTGACATAAAAAAATATGTAATCCTTTGAAATAAATAAAACTGTGGGTTTCGCACTTCGCAGACCCTAATATACAATTGTAGAAAATACATTTTCCCCAGTCTCCACATCACACATTAGCATGTAACTCAACAACGGAAACTAAAGAATAAACGTAAACAACGAGGTGGACTAGAAATAACTATTTCCTTTGTCCTTTCCATTGTAACGACAGAATGGTGTTGGCGGTGGGCACTACACCTTTCCTTTAAAATAGTCACACAACTAAAAAGGCATAGAGATTTTGCCCAGGCAAATTAGAAAATCGATTCTGGTCTTGACAGGTGTCTTATAGGTTAGGTGGAAAGGTCAGAAGCGTTCCTTGGGTTCGCTGAACTTGCGTTTCTTCTGCACAGAGGCCTGGACATCCTGACTGCAGGGGAACTCGAACTGCGATATCTGCCAATCAGAGAGTGACAGACAGTTTACCAACTAATGTAAAACTGAAAAAATGAATAATGATTGCCAAACAATATTCTGTATCCATCGAGATGGGATGGACTGAATGAGTCATATTGACTTGTTAAAAAACATGTAGGTCAGGGAACTTTTATCTTTAAAAGACAATTTTCTCATTATTATCAATCGTTCTGTGAGTAAGACTGGGGACTGAAATCTATGATGCTCCAGGGGGCGTGTCTCCCACCATTTTGTCTTCGATGGGAGAGGGCTTCTTCTTGCTGATGCTGTGCACCTCAGTCTCAGCCTTTCTCTCCTGCACACACACAGAACAAAGACAGTAAATCACAGACTGCAGGGAAGTGCTTGTGAAGCTAGTCGGATACACTAGTACCATAGATACACACCCTCCGTGGTCATTTTTACATTACGTTATACAAATATGTCTTCCATTTGAACAGGACCAGTAGGAGTTGGATAGGGTTGTGAGTTTTGGGGGGCACTGACCAGGGTGGACCTGGTGACGCGTCCGCTCCTGGTTCTCTTAATGGCCACTTCCAGGTCAGAGGTCCTCTTTACCAAAGTGTCCATCTGAGACAGACAGGTCAATCAAACCACAGACCGTTACCTTCACAACTGGAGCAGCCCCTATAGTACTTTATATCCATACCGTACTCTCCCACCTGTGTATTTGTATTGCTCTGTATCTGCATTTGGTTGATACAAGGCCTATCTTAGTACTGATTATGTAGAATTTTTTGCTGTGATTTTACCTGAGAGTTCTCTGTGCTCTCCTCACACATCATATTCTCCTGGCAGTTCACCTGGACCTCTTTGAGCATCAAACATGATGGAAACAAAATAAAACAAAACATGGATTTCAGACTGCATTTGACTTCTTAAAAAAGAAAATAGCACTGCTGTTATCATGTTCAGCAAAACTTCTTTACACTAGGGTTTGAGAGAGGAGGTCCTACCTGAATTGTCCAAGTAAAGGTCGTCGTCTGGATTTTCCATTACTTTTATCATGCGAGTCTAAAAGTAGAAACCCCATAAAAAATGTTATATACTGTAGGTATATCCCATGGGATAGAGACAGCAACGCCCCCTACTGGGTTAAAACAATAGCGTCCTGCCATAGGCACCCAGTCAAATTAGCCTAGATTTATGTCAGCCTCAGGTCTCACCTGCTGACTGCTGATCTTGGTCACTGTCCCCCCCTCCTCCATCTTCAGTTCCCACTTGTCCCTCACACATATGGGCTGCTCGTCATCAACCTACAGAGAAAAGGGGACAGCTGTTAATCAACGTGTCACCCATTAATCTGGTTGACATTACTCTCTCTTTAGTTATTTCCCCCCTTTTCCTTCATACCTGCTCCAGCCTTTCTCTCTCTGTGGTCACGTCCACCTTCAGGGTGTGGAAGGGAGTGACCACCTCGCCCATGGTCAGATTGACGGGCTCCTTCTCAAACTGCATGCTATCGCAGTCCCCCTCCATGAATCCTGGGGGCTGGTAGTCCTGGGGAGTGACTGAGATATATACACACATGCAAACACACACACACTCTTTATGTGGTCTTTTAAAAACATATACTTGTTATACCCTATGAAAGTAGTGCTTCAATTTGACTTCCGTAGTCCGTCCAGGTTTTGTAGGCTAAGAATGGGCTTAAAATGTATATTGTCATTTAAGATATATATTAAAATGTATGTTTTCTCGTATATATTTATTTACCATATGCCGTTTTTCAACGTATTTGACGCCCAAGAAGCACAAAGCTGAAAAGGTACAACCGTTTCATTTGAACTACACACATGAACTACAAATCAAAAGGCACTGGTTGGCAACGTTCACTGAAAAACCCCCAGCCTAATCTAATATTAAAACACATCAAATGGCCTGTAACTAACAGGTTGTTACCTTCCTGTAAGTCCTCAGCTCGAGCAGGCACGCTCAGGCATGCTAACAACGCTGCAGGAGATGTAGTTCAAATGAGACTTCTCTAACTTTCGTGATGTGTCTTACTTCTTGAGCGTCAAATATTTTGATAAAAGGCATCGGGTATGAGTAAATCAATACACAAATATACACTGAGTATACAAAACACCTGCTCTTTCCATGACATAGACTGACCAGGTGACTCCAGGTGCAAGCTATGATCCCTTATTGATGTCACTTGTTATATCCACTTCAATCAGTGTAGATGAAGGGGAGGAGACAGGTTAAAGAAGGATTTTTAAGCCTTGAGACAATTGAGACATGGATTGTGTATGTGTGCCATTCAGAGGGTGAATGGGCAAGACAAAATTGAAGTGCTTTGAATGGGGTATGGTAGTATGTGCCAGGCGGTTTGTGTCAAGAACTGCAACGCTGCTGGGTTTTTCACTTTTTTCACACAGTTTCCCGTATGTATCAAGAATGGTCCACCACCCAAAGGACATCCAGCCAACTTGACTCAGTGGGAAGCATTGGAGTCAACATGGACCAGCATCCCTGTGGAACGCTTTCGAAGACTTGTAGAGACCATGCCCCAATGAATTGAGGCTATTCTGAGGGGAGGGGGTTGCAACTCAATATTAGGAAGGTGTTCCTAATGTTTGGTATACTCATTGTAATTAAATGGCTGCATTTTCATGATTTTTATCATATAATCTTGGAGCATATTCAAAAGACCCGGGACATGACCCCGGAAGTATGACATAGGATGACATCACTTGCGCAGCGTATTGCATCATATCATCTCTTTTCTTTTAGCTTACTCTACATCACTGTGTGGTCTTTACCGTCGTCGTAGTAGGAGAGTTTCATGTTGAGACAGACATTGTCTGGCAGAGGACCCAGGTTCTGCATCAGTGTGTAGAGTTTACGCACCAGGAGGATGCTGGACTTTTTTGTGTTGCTGCAAGCCATCTTTCCCAGATTCTTGCTGTTTTTGCTAAAACAAAAATAAATGTAAAAACTTTTACACAATTAAAAGTTTCTCTCTTCAATGTTTCTCAATGAAATTCTGCCATGTTATCATTATGTTATACACATTAGGGTTGAATATTTACCCGGTATTTTACAAATGTTCCATCCCGAGAATAAATCACTTTTCTCCGGGGTAAGTGTCAAAACCGGAAGTGTCATTCAAAAGCATTACAAAGCATATAAATAGGCCTATGTCTGGATTTGATTAGAGCTTTGATCGAATATTCAAGCCTGATGCAACCTGAGCCAGATAAAATACATTTTATGAGCCTAAGCCCAAACATGCCCAAGTGATTGTACCGTTATCCAATACAGCTACTGCAGATTACATAAGACAGAAAAACATAAAAGCACATAGATGCTCTCTTGGGTAAATAAATGAAACAAGCTCCAGTAATCTTTTTGAGTGTGAACTGTATTACTGTACTGCATTGTATTATACTGTATTATATGGACTGGAATTACGCACCTCATTCAAACCATGATCAAGCAGGGAGAGAAAATGTGATTCTGGTGCAGCACATGCGGCCTACAAAGTTACAAGTATTTTTCATTATATTTTCCCTAATGTTATTAGCCTACCTCTTATTTCTCTCTCTTTTGTTGCTTCATTCCTTCCTTGCTTTCAACAGTTAAATTAAATATGTTTCATTGTCCTTATCTTCATCATTCTAATTACATATTTGAATAATATAGGACTAGAATGAGACACAAAAGGCTTTCACTTCTCTTCACGAGGATTGAATGGTTATGGGTCTGCATAAATAACTGCTATAGCCTACCGCCATCACCCGTTCGCTCTTCTTTCAAACTACCCATGAGTTCTATTGGGTGCTGTATTTAACATTCAGCAAACAAGAGCTTGTGTCCCTCTTCGAATAGTCTATTGGTATAAGAAATGCTAAAAAAAATAATGTCCAGCCACTATTCTAGTTTAGCTTTTCCTGCATAGGACTCCAAGAGCTAAGGAGCATTTTTTACAGAGCGAGGCCAGCGGAGCACAGGTACGTGCATATTGCGCAAGAGACAGAGGCTATAAGTTAGAAGCTTATTATGCATAACCCATCATTCATTAGCTAAATATAAGGCTAATACTGCATTGGATTTATTACCTGAAAGAGGTAGGCTAGCACATCTATAAATAGGCCTATACAGTGGGGAGAACAAGTATTTGATACACTGCCGATTTTGCAGGTTTTCCTACTTACAAAGCATGTAGAGGTCTGTAATTTTTATCATAGGTACACTTCAACTGTGAGAGACTGAATCTATAACAAAAATACAGAAAATCACATTGTATGATTTTTAAGTAATTAATTTGCATTTTATTGCATGACATAAGTATTTGATCACCTACCAACCAGTAAGAATTCCGGCTCTCACAAACCTGTTAGTTTTTCTTTAAGAAGCGCTCCTGTTCTCCACTCATTACCTGTATTAACTGCACCTGTTTGAACTCGTTACCTGTATAAAAGACACCTGTCCACACACTCAATCAAACAGACTCCAACCTCTCCACAATGGCCAAGACCAGAGAGCTGTGTAAGGACATCAGGGATAAAATTATAGACCTGCACAAGGCTGGGATGGGCTACAGGACAATAGGCAAGCAGCTTGGTGAGAAGGCAACAACTGTTGGCGCAATTATTAGAAAATGGAAGAAGTTCAAGATGACGGTCAATCACCCTCGGTCTGGGGCTCCATGCAAGATCTCACCTCGTGGGGCATCAATGATCATGAGGAAGGTGAGGGATCAGCCCAGAACTACACAGCAGGACCTGGTCAATGAACTGAAGAGAGCTGGGACCACAGTCTCAAAGAAAACCATTAGTAACACACTACTCCGTCATGGATTAAAATCCTGCAGCGCACGCAAGGTCCCCCTGCTCAAGCCAGCGCATGTCCAGGCCCGTCTGAAGTTTGCCAATGACCATCTGGATGATCCAGAGGAGGAATGGGAGAAGGTCATGTGGTCTGATGAGACAAAAATAGAGCTTTTTCGTCTAAACTCCACTCGCCGTGTTTGGAGGAAGAAGAAGGATAAGTACAACCCCAAGAACACCATCCCAACCGTGAAGCATGGAGATGGAAACATCATTCTTTGGGGATGCTTTTCTGCAAAGGGGACAGGACGACTGCACCGTATTGAGGGGAGGATGGATGGGGCCATGTATCGCGAGATCTTGGCCAACAACCTCCTTCCCTCAGTAAGAACATTGAAGATGGGTCGTGGCTGGGTCTTCCAGCATGACAACGACCCGAAACACACAGCCAGGGCAACTAAGGAGTGGCTCCGTAAGAAGCATCTCAAGGTCCTGGAGTGGCCTAGCCAGTCTCCAGACCTGAACCCAATAGAAAATCTTTGGAGGGAGCTGAAAGTCTGTATTGCCCAGCGACAGCCCCGAAACCTGAAGGATCTGGAGAAGGTCTGTATGGAGGAGTGGGCCAAAATCCCTGCTGCAGTGTGTGCAAACCTGGTCAAGACCTACAGGAAACGTGTGATCTCTGTAATTGCAAACAAAGGTTTCTGTACCAAATATTAAGTTCTGCTTTTCTGATGTATCAAATACTTATGTCATGCAATAAAATGCACATTAATTACTTAAAAATCATACAATGTGATTTTCTGGATTTTTGTTTTAGATTCCGTCTCTCACAGTTGAAGTGTACCTATGATAAAAAATTACAGACCTCTACATGCTTTGTAAGTAGGAAAACCTGCAAAATCGGCAGTGTATCAAATACTCGTTCTCCCCACTGTATATATCAATCTTGAACAGGATTATCTATTTTGGATGCAATTTGAATGGAATTAATGGAGAGAAAGACTGCGAGAGAGCGTTCACTCGTGCACTGATTTAAAGCAACGATTTAGGAGTGTTTTAAACTCGTCAATAAAAAAGAAAAATCATCTTTACAATAAAAAAATATAGTGATCCCCGAAAGCCAGATGGAGATGTGTAAATTAGATGCGCATTCGGTCTTTATATTACTGTAGCATAGGCTATGCTGCAGCAAATGTAGGTCTACCTGTCACAATAAAAAAAAATGGATAGGTCTACATACTGAGATGGGCTCTTGGTCCCCACCCAGAGCATTGATGATTCATCATGCAGTGACCAGAGGGAAGGCCTTAGAGAATCCAGATTTAGACATCGCATATAATTACAGCTCCATTTCACGTCAAGCTGTTCATATAAATAATTTCTTATAATTTACCAGTTTCTCACTGTTATTTATCCCGGGAAAAGGGAGTGGTTTTGGCGGTAAATCTCGGTAAACCTCAGTAACCGGGTTCCCGCCATTCAACCCTAATACACATTCACAACGCTGTACCTTTCAAAGTCAATTTTGGGTCCCTTTTCAGTGTATTCGACTTTGAACTGGTAGCATTCAGTAACCTTCTGCAAATTGTAAAGAAAGACCAGTGTCACAATGAGAAAAGGCTTGATTCAAGAGGTTACATATACTGTAGATCTTGTTATAGTCCAGAGAATCAAAGCATTACTATGATAAATACCAATGGGGTTAAAAAGTTGTCTATTACCTTTGGATTCTCTGGGTCTGTGTATATCTATAGAAAGTGGAAGGAGAATACAAACTTTAGCAACTGAAAATTAAAATGCTTTATATGCTGAAGAAAATATTCGATAAGATATACTCACAGACATAACGACCGTCCGCAACTGTTGGAATACAAGACATTCATTATATGTAATTAATTCACATTAATAACATGCATATAATGAATAAACAACTAAATACTAGTATCTCACTTACGTATTTTCTTTGAAGGGCATCAAAGCATCCCTGCATCCTGGGAGGTGTATAAAAGAGTCTTAATTAATCAACACTGAATAAATGATCTAACCAGGATAAAGGGAAAGTATTTGGCCACAGAGAAAACACTGTACTGGAATTCCCCACTGAGGCTTGGTGGTGTATACTGACCACTGTACAATCTGACTGGCACCAGGGCAGGTGCGCTCCTCCCTGAGGATCATAACTTTCTGCTCTGTGGCATAGAGAGAGAGAAGAAAGTGTACTTCTTGAAGATGTTGGCTAGCTACAGTATCATGATTTAAATAACAATAGAGTACATTTAAAAAGAACATAAAATGTGTTTTACCTTCAACATATTTTCTCCCATAAGCTTTTTCTGGGAAAAGACCCCTGAGATAAGTGATGCTGGAGACTGCAATGGCCAGCAGTTTCTTCACAACAATCAAGGACTGCTGCTCTGTTGAAACTACATTTGGCAGCAACTGGGTGCCCTATAAAAGATAACAAAGACAGGCTCTTACACCTTTGAATATTTTTGAATAAATAGAGTCATGTAGATATTCATAGAACATGCTATTAGAACATGCCATCATAGAACATGCCATTTGCTTGCTTTAAAACAGCAATACAATAGGACCAAGGTCGCCAGAGGTTTTACCTGAGCAGTCCGCAAACGTTGTTCACAGGCCATGGTAGTAATAGTTGATAACCAGTTGTCAAATCTACAAAATAAAGATTAATCAGAAGCCAGGTAGCTAGCTATCAAGGTAAAGCTATGTTGAAATATGTAGCTATCTAGCTAACGTACTAGCTTACACAAATAGATACAGGAATATTTGATATTAATCTTGCTAGCTACCTAGCTAACGTAGCTAGCAGTACACACACCTACTGATGACACTGACTTTACTCTACAACACATTGTGAATAGTATGAAATTGCATAACTCACATAGCTAGCTATTACTACCTAGAAAAAGCGCAGTCACACAACCTGGTTTTTGGTTGAAAAAATAATAAGCTAGCTAGCTAGCCAGATCGAATTTACTAAGAAGCTATTGGACCGTGGGCCAAACTCGCGCCAGACACACACGCGCACGCGCCACACACACGCACACACACACACACACACACACACACACGCACACACACGCACGCACACACACGCACACACACACACACACACACACCTGTTTCTTTCGGACATAAATTTTTCTCGAGCTACCCGCCAAACCTGATAGCTGAAGTAGCCAATCAGAGGGCAGCCTTAGATAACGTACATTTTCTTGCCACCACAACATGCATTGAGTGATTTGTGATATCAAAGGTAGTGATATGTCCTGGCCGAGGTAAACATCAGTTTTAAATGAAGTTGTTAATGTTGTGGCACTGTATGCAATTTGCTCTGTTGTTAGTGTAGTTTGATGCAACGCTGCGCACAGATTGAATATCCGCACTCTATTGGACACAGCACTGTCAATCAGCATCTCTCTACGATTAGTAGCATTTCATTGGCTCTTCTGGTCTCTAATACAACGTGTTTCCTTATACCATTGGTTACTGTATATGTCTGTCACAAATGGCAATCCCACATGTTTTAGCCTTTTTTTTGTCGAGGAGCCTTGTGTTCAAGAGACAGATTCGATTTTTGCTAGCAGTGGAAGCTAGAAGAGCACCCCTGCATACATTCTAACCTGCGTTTTCAAGCAAATCAGACTTCCCGTCCATTATAGCTGCGTAATGTCGTCCGAAAATCTATCAGATACTCAGATGGAATATGAGGATGAAAAACAGGTGGGTTTAATATCATGACACTATCTTGAGTTTGCCAGCTAGCTATGACGCTAGCTCTATGTTTGTTGTAACGCGTTACAAGTGAAGTGTTTGAATTGATAGCTAGCTAGTTAGCTTTCGTTATGGCATCAAACCTTTAAACGTCTCGTTTACCAGCAGTGACAGTGTGTATAAATCTTTTGGAAAGGTCTTGAGTAAGATTTACGTGTCTCTCGATAAGCAATAATAACATAGGTACTGTATATTATTGAGTTATTTATTGAGTTTTCCTTTGTGCCATTGGCTCGCTAGTCCACAGGTTATGAGATATACCTGGGCCTCATTGGTCTATCCAGACACTGCAGTAGTTGAGCCTGAGGTTGAGTCTTCAGGCTTTCGAGACTGTCAGGCAAACAATAATATTGTAGCCTATCCTTTGAAATCTGTGTTTCAATGGAAACCAGGGTCAATCATCACAGTCACTTATATGCTAGCTGATCAGTCACACAAAGCTTATAAGGATGTATAAGCTAGATCTATTGATTCATACTCGTTTTCAGTCCCCTATGTTTTGTGAATGTTGTTATTTAAAGTGTTGCACTGATATTAGGCTTAGCTATATATAATATAGGCCTATCTATATCAATATGTGACAGCTATCAAATGGAGTACACTGATGAAAAGGCACTTGTACAGGCAGCATCCTGATTGGATGCTGGTGAAGGTCAGAGTTCAGGTGAGTCTGTTGACAAACCCACTGGTCATATCAATATGCATTGACTAGCATGTCTACATAGGGAAGGTACTGATGCGACACTTTGTCTTATCAATGCTAAGGGGTGCTATTAATACAATGGTCTTTTGATACAATGGCAAGAAGAGAAACCGGTCATGTGGGAAAATAACATTTCATGGTAGCTAGCTACTATGGGGTCTAGCAGTTTGGAACTTTTTTAGGGAGTGGAAAGTATCTGGTCCACTCTTGCATTTTCCATCATTGGGGCTGAATATAGCAACTTTTACATTTTCGTTATGGATCCAAGTGAATCAGCAAGGGAATCTGTTCATCGGCTTCTCTACCTTGAGTCACTTATTATTCCTGCCCCAGCAAGCTTTGCGTTCACTGTCCTCTGCATGGAATGGCAGATATTCTCCTGTACTTCGATTGCAGTGTTTTGTGGGTTTCTCAATGTTTTCTTAGCTTTATTTAGCCAGATAAGTTACAATGTGTTGTAAGTTAACAATGGGCAATTCCATGTCAACAGTGATAAAATAAAATAAAAACATACATGCACAAGGACTACTTTCCACAGAAAATTTGACAAAAACATATTTACTTGAAGAACAGTGCAGATAGAGGTTGGTAACAGAATGACGGGTTGTGCTGTTTGAGCTGTCATTCTGTTACCAAACTTTGCATCTGCACTGTTCTTTAAGTACATTTATTTTTATTTTGTATTATTCTGTGAAAATTGTTAAAAGTATTCCTTGTGCATGGAGTTGTATGGTTTGTTTAGCTTTGCAATCATTGGTTTTTGTTTGACATACATTTTAAAGTGAAAGATCAGTCTTAGCTTCACTCTGTTACTGTGGAATTGCCCCAATAGAGAATACTTATTTTGCTGACTTCTGCTCAGAGTCTACCTGTACTGTGGACAATAACAGGGTGTGTCCTGTTAACGTACTTTCCACTGGCCTCGTTCCATGGACTCCACACTGGCAGAAAAGGGTAAACCAGTTTGTCTAGTGCAGGAGTTGACTCCAGTAAACCATAGGCTTACACCTTACAAAAAGCTTTAGCATGAAGGTGTCATGTGAACACTAGAACCACTCTGCAAGCTCTGTGTACCTAGACTTTGGTCAGCAATTACTCAAGGCCTGTTTCTGTATCATATTTTTACAATAACCATAAAGTAACGCCACCCTTGGCTTGTATATATTTGCAGACAAACGGCTTTATGAGGGGAAAACAATAACATGTCAGTGATGGGGTAACAAGGCTGTTTTGTCCACATCAGCTGAGGAAAAGTGTGTGAGAGAGGGGGAAATAATAGATGTGAAGCTGCTTTCTAGTCACACTTAATTCTTACTCGATCATAATACTCGTCTTCTGAGTGAGTTGTTTATTACAGGCAACCATGAGGGCGTGAGAGATAGTGTTGCAGGAGAGCATGCAGAGTGTGACTCATACTATGAAGACGCTTCAACTCCCTCAAGTCATTTTCATGGCATTAGCCCACTTCACAGCTGAAATGAGTAGGGTTAGGCTATATGATTCAGATGCAATCCTTTCTGAAGAGCACAGTGCCAGCCCATTAATCTTGTTGTTTTGTCATCATCAGACCATCTTATAACCTTCTTATTAGTTTTAATGTCACAAGTACAGTGAAATGCCTTTCTTCAACCACTAAATCCAACAATGCCGTAATCAATAACAATGTAATACTAAAAATAATATAAGGTAGAACAAAAACACACAAGAAATAGAAATAAGAAGAACACGAGAAAGTAAGTAAGAATACTATATACAGGGTCAGTCAGTTCCAGGACCATATTTACAATGTGCAGGGATTCTGGAAGAATAGAGGTAGATAATTATAGGGGTAAGATGACTAGGCATCAGGTTATATTACTGCATATCACAAGGCGTTGGACAGTTAAATGGAGAATGTCTATTTTAAAAGCCTATGCTTTTTCTTCTCTGTGCATCATGGCTGACATTATGATGAGGGATATATAAGCGTAGGCTACATAGGCCTACTGTTTTGATGTTTCTCCTCTTTAGCAAAATTCCTTGCGCATAGCAAGTAACACCCATATGACGGCACATCGAAATGTTTTCTTTGTCTGGACAGGACTCTCAGGAAAAGAATGCCAACCTTGTGAAGGGCGAAGAGGTCAAGCTGAAGGCCAAGTACCCCGGCCTGGGCCAGAAGCCTGGAGGCTCTGACTTCCTCATGAAGAGGCTACAGAAAGGGGTAAGTGGAACCCTTCTCCTGGAGAGCCACAGAGAATACATGCTTTTGATTCGGCATGTTAGTTTAGTGCTAGGCTGGAACAAACGCCTACACACCCTTGTTGACCACTTGACTAGGAAATCGCATAGGCTTCGAATAGTCCTCTTTAAGACATTTCAATACGTTCTGCATTTATGAGGATCTCAGATTGCATTGGCATGTCTGTGACAGTAGCTATGTTTCCATGAACTTGTCCAGTGATTTTTTTTTTCTTCGACATTTAGAAAGTTCACAAAGAAAATAGATGCGACAATTGCCGTTTCCATTTAACTAACTTGTGTCAATAAAAACAGCTGGACGTAATGACCTCACACCTAAAAATGACATGTAAAAAATTGCAGAAACCTACAGTGTCGCATAACAATATAGTGGTTGAAGTGTTTCCATTACCCATTTAGGCAAATTGCGCATTAATAAATTGGTGACAGCCTGTATGCCCTCCCACATATCTGTTTCATGTCTCGGGTATAGCCAGCGAAAGCCAGCATGTATAGAATGCAATAATTTACTAATATTTGCCATATTCTAATAATTATCATATGCCAGCGTATCGCCACGGTCCGAACCATGGAGAAACTTGCACTCCTATAGATCTGAAATAATTGGATGTTGAAACTTGCCAGCCAACCAGAAAAGCAAGGCGAAGCAATTCAGGCATTCTTGAAAGTCAGGACAATCCTTGTCCTGCAAATAAACATTATTTTTATAGTTGAAAAAATGGATTTAGCAAGCAGTAGACATTTTAGAATTAAATGTGGTGTGGAGCTTTATAGTTACTCGTGACATCACGTACCCCACATACAATCATCATTTATTCCAAAAACATTGTCAAATGTCGCAATAAAGAAAGTTAGACAAAATAAAAATCCTGTCGAACGGATAAAAATGTTGTTGATCTTTAGAACGTTTCTCCTATATCTGCCGTTTCCATGACACGTCGCAATGATTCTTTTTGCGACATTGCTTTTTTCGAATAAACCAGGGTCATTGGAAACCTACCTATTGACATGAACTAGCAGAATTACTCCAGACAACCTGAATTGAATTCCTTCTATCTTGCCCCCACCTAGCAAAAGTACTTTGACTCAGGCGACTACAACATGGCCAAAGCCAAGATGAAGAACAAACAGCTGCCCGTGGCGGGGCCCGACAAGAACCTCGTCACAGGGGACCACATTCCCACGCCACAGGACCTGCCCCAGAGGAGGTCCTCCTTGGTGACCAGCAAACTAGCAGGCTAGCCTAGCCTCCACCCATCCACCAGGCCCCTAGCTAACGTCCCTCACCTGTCCCCCAACGATGTTCCTCCCTAGTCATCTCCAGGCTCCACTTGGCTTTAACGTATCGGGGAGAGCTGTGAAAGTCAGTACATATTGCTTGTATGTGGGTGGGGAGGGGAGGGGAGGTGAGCTGGGACCTTATCTACCATCTCTCCACACAGCTCTGCCCTCTGCACACTCTGCTCTACCGCCTCCCTTATGTCTTGGTTTGGTGTTCAGAGGTACATAAAGTAGATGTGCCATCGGGGAGGCTGAGTTTAATGCACTTTGTATTATGTACAGTACGTTTTTGCATCCCGAACGACACCCAAATATGTTGTTGACGAGGGAGTTAGGAACCATGATCGCTCCACATTTTTCGATGTTGTGTTCTCGTCAAAGCTGGGGGTAAATGTTTGCGTATTTTGCTTGCACACCAAATCTGGGAGGGAAGGGAACCATGGTGAAGTGTCCAAAGGAAGGGAGTGGTAATCAGAGGGAAATGTGAAAACTGATTTGAGGTTTCCTTTATCTCATGTTTTGTCAAACACAAATCCAAGGTCGTCCACGTTGACCTGACCGAACGGATATGAAACTACACATTTTCTGCTAATGTCGCTTTAATTCTTGACTCCCTGTTGCTCTTCTTTTTCTGAATATGCTGCATGATCGTAACATGTAACAAAATGTGCAAATCTGGAGGGGTTAGACGACTGATAGGAAGTAGCAAGCAACCAAATGGAGCCCTGGAATGTCCATGGTCACTGTCCACTCCTTCCTTCCTTCCCTCTCAATGTCCTGACAATCCACACACTCTGTCTGTAGGCTGCCCATGGCGAAAGCAATGCCACAGCAAACTGAATACCCATGTATCATTTTAAGGCTGGGAAAAGAGGCAACTGTTTAATACTAAATTTCAGTACTGTGGCTATTACATCAAAAAGCCTAAAAGATTTGTTGGGGATAAATTCAATGTATATTTCTGTATTATGTTGAGAAATTTGACATTTGGTATGATTTGTGTCTTTATAATGGGTTATTGTTTGTTCATTGTCACTTATTAGCCATTTTACTAGAATCTGGCTCTTTTCACTGTTAATGGCAGTTCCTGTTGAGAAATTCTTCCAGTAACAGAAGATTACAGCCTAGTTCCCAATTACATTAGTTGCTAAACCTCTCCTCAGGCTCTCCTTCAAATTCAACGTAGCAAGAGCCTCACAGCGTACTGCTAAAGCATATAGCCTTACGTATTGACATTCTAAATATACAAATCTGTGATGTCAGTAATGGGGTAAACAGTCGGCCACCTGATAAACTGGCCCTGACTGGACCCTGGCTCACACAGACCTAACTGGGACACACAGTGTGCTTTAAAGATATGCTCACTTGACACATGGCAAAGGGAAGGGATTTGATGACATGAGGAGAGGGGGTAAAGTGTGAGTGTGTATTTAGTTGACCCTGCTCACACCTGTTGGGATGGTTCAACTTGCAGGTGTGTTAGATAAATCATACAAAAGTGAAATGCATGCACCCTGGTTTAAAGGTCAGAGGTTGTAGGCTATGTTATCACTGAATTAGTTGTCCTATCTCAATGTATCACACACTCCACACAAATGCTAAAATACACACTTGAGCACTCCCATCTTGGGATTATTAGACACTGCCCTGTGTCAAATTGCAGGGAAGAAGATAATTGGCATTGAGTGTGGTTGTCTGGGTTAGTATGAATGTGCTGCTTTTCTCTGTCCCAGCCGGTGTAAATAGACTTTTGAGGGTGAGGATTCTTTATTTTTATTATTGATTTCACTACTTGTAGTTCTCTGATTCAGTGGTTCCTTTCTCCTGTCAGTGAATACACTACTTCTGCTTTAACCATTTTTTTAATACAGAGACAAATTAATCTGTATAATATGAATATGTGTAAATGCTGCTGATTCAGTTGATGACTAATCTTAAACTAACATATTACCCCATAAAGAACGTCTGTCCTAGGATTCAAACAATCGGACCCAAGCCTACCATGAATAATGTCTGCCAATGGGAGACTGACTAACCACTCCAGGGTTGGGGGTCTAATTCCATTTCAATTAGGATATTAATTGAAATTCTACCCATGATCAATGCAATCCATTTTGGGAACTGGCCAGCTGGAGTTTAAATGGGATTGACCCCAACTTGTTACTTGACTTTGAACAGAAAGACTGTGCAGAATCCTAAATAATTGTAGCCTGCCATTCCAGGCTTATTAAAGTGTCAAATAATATAACTGGATATGCTGAAATGAAGGTTGTTGAAACAACAGGAGAGGAATTATTGATTGCTATGTTTTTGTGCACTGTCTGGCTTTGTATGGAGCAATGCAATGAGCAAGGTATGTTAAAATACCAAGTGTCCTGTTCAACCATGATAAGTATATGCCAGAATGTAAGCAAATTTAAAATGACTGTGTGCTCTAAAGTACCTTGTGCTGCTTACCTAACCTGTTTTTGTTTTGCATACATTAAAGATGTTTTAGTGTTCTCTTACTCACTGCATAACTACAACAAAAGTTTATCCTGGCCCAAGATAACTGCAGGGATATCTGGAGCACCCTTGCTCCCAATAACTGGGGGGTTTACATAAGGATATGCTGATTGTGGAACAGGAGACAAAACAAAATATTGATTTTAAGAAATTAGAAAGTACATGAGTACTAATTGTTTCAATTGTGTGGAAGTAGTGGAGCGAATTTGTCACTATTTGAAATAAACTTTTACATGAATATTAATTACTTTTTGCTCTTTTCAATTATCTTCTCACGTGCATTATTGATTTGATCACCAGTCCTGCTGAAGTTTACATCAGAAGCCAATAACCAACTGTCTCTAGCTACAGTTATCTTTTCAACCACACAGGGCAGGATACCTCCAATTTATATGTTGATAATGACATACAAGTCCGAATGTGCCCTTAAGCAAGGCACTTAACCCTAATTGCTCCTGTAAGTCGCTCTGGATAAGAGCGTCTGCTAAATGACTAAAATGTAAATGTATTTTGGCCCATTCCTCCATGCAGATCTCCTCTAGAGCAGTGATGTTTTGGGGCTGTCGCTGGGCAACACAGACTTTCAACTCCCTCCAAAGATTTTCTATGGGGTTGAGATCTGGAGACTGGCTAGGCCACTCCAGGACCTTGAAATGCTTCTTACGAAGCCACTCCTTCGTTGCCCGGGCGGTGTGTTTGGGTCATTGTCAGGCTGAAAGACCCAGCCACGTTTCATCTTCAATGCCCTTGCTGATGGAAGGAGGTTTTCACTCAAAATCTCACGATACATGGCCCCATTCATTCTTTCCTTTACACGGATCAGTCGTCCTGGTCCCTTTGCAGAAAAACAGCCCCAAAGCATGATGTTTCCACCCCCATGCTTCACAGTAGGTATGGTGTTCTTTGGATGCAACTCAGCATTCTTTGTCCTCCAAACACGACGAGTTGAGTTTTTACCAAAAAGTTATATTTTGGTTTCATCTGACCATATGACATTCTCCCAATCATCTTCTGGATCATCCAAATGCACTCTAGCAAACTTCAGACGGGCCTGGACATGTACTGGCTTAAGCAGGGGGACACGTCTGGCACTGCAGGATTTGAGTCCCTGGCGGCGTAGTGTGTTACTGATGGTAGGCTTTGTTACTTTGGTCCCAGCTCTCTGCAGGTCATTCACTAGGTCCCCCCGTGTGGTTCTGGGATTTTTGCTCACCGTTCTTGTGATCATTTTGACCCCACGGGGTGAGATCTTGCGTGGAGCCCCAGATCGAGGGAGATTATCAGTGGTGTTGTATGTCTTCCATTTCCTAATAATTGCTCCCACAGTTGATTTCTTCAAACCAAGCTGCTTACCTATTGCAGATTCAGTCTTCCCAGCCTGGTGCAGGTCTACAATTTTGTTTCTGGTGTCCTTTGACAGCTCTTTGGTCTTGGCCATAGTGGAGTTTGGAGTGTGACTGTTTGAGGTTGTGGACAGGTGTCTTTTATACTGATAACAAGTTCAAACAGGTGCCATTAATACAGGTAACGAGTGGAGGACAGAGGAGCCTCTTAAAGAATAAGTTACAGGTCTGTGAGAGCCAGAAATCTTGCTTGTTTGTAGGTGACCAAATACTTATTTTCCACCATAATTTGCAAATAAATTCATTAAAAATCCTACAATGTGATTTTCTGGATTTTTTCCCCTCAATTTGTCTGTCATAGTTGACGTGTACCTATGATGAAAATTACAGGCCTCTCATCTTTTTAAGTGGGAGAACTTGCACAATTGGTGGCTGACTAAATACTTTTTTTTTGTATGTTGATACAAAATGTATGTTGATAAATGACAAACTTTAAGCATCAGTTGTCAGAGCACCTTACCGATCACTGCACCTGTACACAGCCCATCTGAAATTAGCCCACCCAACTACCTCATCCCCCACAACCCGTCATTTGCCACCAGGGGACAGCAGATCTCCGCATTCGTTATTTATCAATGGTCTCTGAAGGGCTATAGCAAAGTGCACACACTGTCCTCAGCCAGCAAACGAAATTTGTTTTATTTATCTGTACCGCTCAATGCAGAGAAAATGCATTTTTATATCCTCTCTTCGTGGAGGTATTTATCTGAATGTTATTGGAAAAACATCCCAGATAGATTTGTAAAGTTAATTCAATGGGGGAGGCAGAGTCGGAAGTCATCATAATCCCTCCCCTCTTTTTAGAAACTAGCCGACAAAAGGTTGGTCATTTCCGCTTCAGGCTCACTGTTGTAGTTAGCAGTCAACGATGGGGGATATTTGAGGAACGAAGTAGCTAAGCGCTAGCTTTTCGTAAAAAGTAACAGCTAGAAGTACCTTTTTATTTTATTTATTTTTCAAACGCTTGTTTCTTTATCTAAACGTTAAGTGAATATGAATCTGTCGAAGTCGTTTACACGAGCCACAACTACGATGTTGAATATTCAAAATGGAGTCGTCGGAGGATCTTCGTACCCTGCTGGTGCTAGCCCTTTGTACTATTTCGGCGCGAATGGGGCCGTATGTGCTGGGGCGTCACCGAAGTCTAAAGTAGATACTGACTTGGGAAATGGGACTGGCGATACTCCACCACGACCCACGAAGTTAGCAGTGAATGTCGTGAAAAGCAACGTCCTAGATAATCATTTGTCAGACCGAAGCAACAATGACGACTCTGACGACTCTTTGCCGTGCACTCCTCAGATGGCGTCAGAGTGTGGGCCTGACATATCGAATTGTCCATCGGGCGATGAAGTATTGGAACATGATACCAGACAACTCATTGAGAACGTCTTGGGGGACTACACAGGACTGTCTCCGTCTCGTTGGAAGCAAAGCAAGACTCTTACGACGATGAAGCGAGTGGTGGAGGATGTAATAGCGAAGCACCGATACGCATACAATGGTACGTAGATGGTCTTGATGTATCCAAATCACTGGCACTAACTAGCTATATCCTAATTTTCTGTTTAAAGATGGTATTGAGCTCATCATGCGCTAACTTGGTTAATAACAGAGCAATATTATCAGGAATATGGTTAGTTCGTTTTACTCAGACCTTTTTATTAAATGTTTTAGGTATGATCGACAAACTTGACTTGGATGATCGTAGCGATGACATGAGCGTCATCAAGTCTGTGGCCAAGACCCTGTTCAGTGATGGGATCACGAACTGGGGTCGCATCGCCAGCCTAGTGGCATTTGGAGCAGTGGTGAGCCAGCACCTGAAGGAGAGGGGCAGGGGACACTGCGTTGAGTTGGTGGGCCAAGAGATCGCCACATACCTCCTCTCTGACCAAAGGGACTGGCTGGTCAAAAACAATGCATGGGTGAGTCATCTATGTGGCCCATTAGTCATTTGCAGATGTGAGACAATCTAAACTTGTTCAGTAGCTAATAATAAACCTAACTCTGCCTTTGGTCTCTTTCTCAGAATGGATTTGTAGAGTTCTTTCATGTGCAGGATCCAGAGTCCTCAGTAAGGAACACCCTCATAGCCTTTGCTGGAGTTGCTGGGATTGGGGCAACACTCGCCATGTTGATCAGGTGAATTGAACTATAAAAGACTTACCTGTTACTTTTTTTTCAACGAAGAAAATGGACTATTCCCGCAAGTTCTCCGAAATCCTTAATATCACCATGGTTGGAATGACTACCCAATGATGTCCTGTTTGGTCAAAGAAGAGGGTCAGTCTGTTGTGTGACCGACTGAATTGGGACAGTGCTTTGGTGTCAAGCTCAAGTTTGCTTTTTTCCGCATCAATGTTTTGGTGCCTTTTTTGTTTGAGGGGCCATATGAGGATATTTGGTAGTTGTCGGAACGGTATCTAATGGACTTGTTAAATGGCGCTTTTATTTAATGTACAAAGTACAGACATTTTATTTTTGTAATAAATTTATAGTTGAATTTAGACTCGTACAGAAACATAGTTAATTCCTCTGCAAATGTTCAACTCACTCATTTTAAGTAATCAAGATGGAAAAGCACTAGCTAATAGCTATAATTCACAATGGCAAAGTTCCGCCTCTGACCATAAAGTTGGCTCAAATGACTTGTGTTTCTGTTCCTTGTGATATTAGTCATACATGTACATACAGGGATTGGTGTAAGAAAGGCAGAACCTGCATTGAACTGACCAATGAGGGCCTTAGAATTAAACTAAGAAGGTAAACCCAGGCTATGGGCATTGAAAATGTAAAGCGCTTACAGCAGGAAAGACTGTATTTTACATGCAATTAATTGCCTTACATGCTTGTCACGCATGTCATAAACCCCCTATCTCGCCTACATCCCATTCATAAGTCCATGTTCCTTGGGGTAGATTTGCCAGTCATGCCTGGCAAACTATTTGCGTGGCTGCAATGTGACTTCCTGGTTAAGGAAATATTGTGGCTGTTGCACTAGGCTTTACTGGGAGGGGGAAGGGAGGAACGTGTTTGAAAGTCAGTTCAAAATTCCATTCTCAAGACTATGCTGATTGTATTTGAAGCATTTAATTTCCAAATTATATCCATGTAAATGAAATGTGCTCGCAGGTATGAGTTTTAAATATGAGCTTAAAGATTGCAAATGGTCTCTGGCGTTGGTTCAATAGAGGCAAGATCGTCTGGACAGTAAACATGTACAGCAGTTCCACCTAATAAACTAGCACTAACCCTCCTGATGCATCTTGCTGGCAAATTCCTTAAATTAAAGGATAAAATCATGCAACTTTTGTGACTGCAATGAATAAAGGATGTGACTTTATTCACTTTTTGGCTGCAATTGTCTCAAAGCAGAAGTTCAACTGTTAACCTGCTGTGAACTTTGGGACTACTTTTCGAAGGGGTGGGGGATATTTTGTGAAAAGATAGCAGTGACATCTGCTCTGTGCTAGTTTCTGGTGCTGGAAGGTAACCCCATACACAAATTAATTCCTGTGTTGTACATAGTCATCTACCTACACACACAAACATGCTTATTCACTCCACTCCCCCCGGACATGCACTGTGAGGTTATTTCCTAGAAATTGCGCTTCTGTGTTAACCATGCATATGTGTGTCATAGGCAGAAGTCTACCACAGTATCACTTCATCTGCAGCCTCAGTTGTCAGAAACATAACCATTATTAAACTAAGATCACCTGAACCACTTGGGTGACTCAACCTCTGAGTTGCCAATAAAATAAGTTAATAGCAGTCCAAAGATCTTTTACAATGTTGCATAACTTCAGTGAGCTTCACCCTTTAGGTTTAGAGATGTTTCCACATAAATTGCATCTGACATCTGTCTGCGCCACAATCATAGCGTTGCAACAGTTGAAGCAAATATGAACCACATCCTTTGTTGCTCTCACTAATTTACCAACTTGAGAATTGCTTCTGCATATTTAATCATGTCTTGATTCCAAAGCAGTATTTTATCTCCGAGTGCCACAGGTATAATGCATCCAGTGTAAATGTATTTAGTGATTTGCAAACTAAAATGACTGAGTGACAGCCCGGAAATACCACTGATCTTTCTTTGCATATGTGTTCGTCACTGATGTATAGAAAGGTCAGAACCAGACTGGTTATTGTAGATTAGGCTTTCCCCTGAAGCTTAAGGAGGAGAACTCTGGGGGGTGGGGCTAATGGCGGAAGGAAACAGGTCAGCAATGTACAATCTATTCAGGCATGCTTTTAGACAGCTATGGAAATCAGCCACAGAGCAGGTATTGTTTGACGTCTGCTGGGCCGAGGGAAGTTGGAGATATCACAGAGGGTAGTGATGCAAGTCGAGGGGAAATACGTTTACTCTTGTGTTTGCACTCAGTCTCATAAGAACAATTCTTCAAATGTAATATGTGTAACTTATGGGGTTTTCAATAAGGAAATTACATAACATCACTGGAGAAGACTCACTAGTCTCACCTAGGCTAATCTTGGAACAAATTCACATTACCTGTGTCAGGGCATGCCGTACTTCGGATAAAGAGGGTTTCTTTGGTAATGAAAGGTGGTATGGAAACAACAATATGCTAGAGTAAACATACTATGTACTTTAATTTCATGGGAACATGGTTGTTTTGGGGAAGGGCTGCAGCTATATCAGGCCTCAATTAAGGGAATCCTTTCAAAGGGTTATGTTGCTCTTAGTCATTAATGATCCCTCTGTGTGTGTGGTAGGTCTGTTTGTTCAGATCTGTCGTCTCTGGTTACAGCACAAACACACACCCATAGAGGTCTTATGAGGAATCGTAGGCCCTCTCCATGGTGACTAATGCACACGTCAGACCTAAACTAATCCTCCTGCTAATGACGATGGCTGCCACCGTGGTTACCATCACCACAGGGATAGTTCATGTGGGCCTTGCCAAGCACTAGCTACATAGGGGAAATTTGGATCTGAGCTGAGGCAACCACATTTTACACAATAAACATTGATGGATAGTATGCTCAAATCACATATGACACCGAAACTAAACTGTTATTTCACACTGGATTTTTTCTAAGGTAAAGAGTAGTTCCCACAGACCCGGCGCCAGGATAATGTGACTAAAGGCGTCCGCATGCTTCCCATCCGGAACAGTTTGTGCATATATTATGACGCTTTTGTTTGTTTTGATCTTCGGCAAGGGTTTTTTCGGCTGTTTGTGCACATTTTTTCTCGAGGCAAGCCGAATTTTGGTAGCCGAAATCAAATCGCCCCTTTGTCGGTCATTGGTCAACAGTAGGGATTCTTCAATTACGTGCTTGTCATTCAATGATAGACGACTCGTTTTCATGCAATAAAAAAAAAAAAACGTAACAAATACTGCACCAAACAGTTAGATGTAGATCTCTTCTGCAAAAACGTCAAAATAAATGACAGATTTCTTAGATAAATTCTGACAAAGTGTAAACAGGCTATGACGTCTCAAGATTGACAAACAGTATTGCCACATTTCTCGTTTTTCTAGCGAAGGTTTTTTAAGGGAGTATGCGAGCACACTCGTTCAGTTCACCTAGCCGAGTTAGGCCGACGCCTGCGGAAGTCTTAAGAAGGCAGTTGAAATCGGTGATTTTGGGGGTTTCTTGCATTTGGAATTATATTGAATTCTGCTTATATCACGATATGCCACAATAAACAAAGTTCAAACGCCAAGACTCCTAGACCATTGAGTGCTTTTGAAGTGACAAGTTGGCGTGAAATCTGTAGCCTATCTCCGCTACGTTGTATCAGCACAATGGACAGCGCCCTACACACTAAAGCAAGGCTGTTTTGGTAATGAATATAGGCTACAAGATTGATAGGGTAATTCCCCCATTACAAACAACCTATGTGAATGCAGCAGTACACACAGCTGTCCTACCAAAATAATACAAACTAAATGCTGAAAGTAGTAGCCTAGTTTTTCATGCATGCATACAAAAATACTGAATAGCAGTTCGGCTTAGAACACCGACACAGCTGTGAATGCAAACTAATGAATGCGAACAGAACAAAACAGCGGTACCAAGTAGGCCTAGTAAACAAAATATCAGATCGGTAATCGCATGGCACAATCTATATTTAGGCTAGTATTAACGGTAAAGAAACGCAGTAAACAAAAGGTGGATGGAGATCCATAATAAAGCCTACAGCCTAGTACAGTGAAATGCAGCCATGCACAGCTTTCTTGCCAAACAAATAGGCCTATAGGCCCGCTTCAGACATTGAAAATCATGCCTCTCATGAGTACAGCAACAAGTTGTGATATGGCACAATACACTCGACCCACATAAGTAATTAAGCAATGCCAGCCTACCGTAAACACATTTCCAATATGTACAGTTCCATTTACAACCACAAAAACCAATAATCTACCAAGAAAACCATAATAGAATGTATTTAAACTCAGCAAAAAAAGAAACGTCCTCTCACTGTCAACTGTTTATTTTCAGGAAACGTAACGTGTAAATATTTTTATGAACATAACAAGATTCAACAACTGAGACATAAACTGAAAAGGTTCCACAGACATGTGACTAACAGAAATTGAATAATGTGTCCCTGAACAAAAGTAACAGTCAGTATCTGGTGTGGCCACCAGCTGCATTAAGTACTGCAGTGCACCTCCACCTCATGGACTGCACCAGATGTGCCAGTTCTTGCTGTGAGAACCCCACTCTTCCACCAAGGCACCTGCAGGATCCTGGACATTTCTGGGGGAAATGGCCGTAGCCCTCACCCTCCGATCCAACAGGTCCCAGACGTGCTCAATGGGATTGAGATCCGGGCTCGTCGCTGACCATGGCGGAACACTGACATTCCAGTCTTGCAGGAAATCACGCACAGAACGAGGAGTATGGCTGGTGGCATTGTCATGCTGGAGGGTCATGTCAGGATGAGCCTGCAGGAAGGGTACCACATGAGGGAGGAGGATGTCTTCCCTGTAACGCACAGTGTTGAGATTGCCTGCAATGACAACAAGCTCAGTCTGATGATGCTGTGACACACCGCCCCAGACCATGATGGACCCTCCACCTCCAAATAGATCCCGCTCCAGAGTACAGGCCTTGGTGTAACGCTCATTCCTTCGACGATAAATGCGAATCCGACCATCACCCCTGGTGAGACAAAACCACGACTCGTCAGTGAAGAGCACTTTTTGCCAGTCCTGTCTGGTCCAGCGACGGTGGCTTTGTGCCCATAGGCGACGTTGTTGCCGGTGATGTCAGGTGAGGACCTGCCTTACAACAGGCCTACAAGCCCTCAGTCCAGCCTCTCTCAGCCTATTGCGGACAGTCTGAGCACTGATGGAGGGATTGTGCGTTCCTGGTGTAACTCGGTTAGTTGTTGCCATCCTGTACCTGTCCTGCAGGTGTGATGTACTGATCCTGTGCAGGTGTTGTTACACGTGGTCTGCCACTGCGAGGACGATCAGCTGTCCGTCCTGTCTCCCTGTAGTGCTGTCTTAGGCGTCTCACATTACGGACATTGCAATTTATTGCCCTGGCCACATCTGCAGTCCTCATGCCTCCTTACAGCATGCCAAGGCATGTTCACGAAGATGAGCAGGGACCCTGGGCATCTTTCTTTTGTTTTTTTCAGAGTCAGTAGAAAGGCCTCTTTAATGTCCTAAGTTTTCATAACTGTGACCTTAATTGCCTACCGTGTGTAAGCTGTTAGTGTCTTAGCAACCGTTCCACAGGTGAATGTTCATTAACTGTTTATGGTTCATTGAACAAGCATGGGAAACAGTGTTTAAACCCTTTACAATGAAGATCTGTGAAGTTATTTGGATTTTTACTAATTATCTTTGAAAGACAGGGTCCTGAAAAAGGGGCGTTTGTTTTTTTGGAGTTTATTTCTATGATGAAACATACCGATATGTAGCTATACCCAGGGATGTCATTTGGGTTCTTGCATTGGAATGATATTAAATTCTGTAGTAACCAGAGTATTCCAGCCACCCTCTTCCTATGAACCAGTTGCTATTAAATTAATGTTTTTGGACAGAAAACCTTCGACTAGGGTAGGATTCTACACTCTTCGGGAAAGAAGGGTTCCAAAAGGGTTCTTCGGCAGTCCCCTTAGGTTAAACCTTTTTGGTTCCAGGTAGAACCCTTTTGGGTTTCATGTAGAACCCTCGGTGGAAAGGGTTTTATATGGAACCAAAAGGGTTCTACCTGCAACCAAAACGGGTTCTTCAAAGGGTTCTCCTATGGGGACAGCAGAATAACCATTTTATGTTCTAGATAGCACCTTTTTTTCTAAGAGTGTAGACTAACCTGGGCTGGCTCCTCTGTTCCAAGATCGTCAGGAACAATCGGAGGTGGAGGGGGTTGTGGAGTCAGTATCCTGGCGGAGCTTGTGGAAGGGTGGGTAGGCTCTGCACGTGGAGTTAGCTGGAGCTCGGTAGCATCATCGCTGCTGGGCTTGGCGGCGGCCTCGATGGTTTGATGCTGCTCATTGCTCTCCTTTTCCCTTTGGCTTTGTTTTGGTACTTTGGCAAAGCCAATTTATAATATCCATCATGGCAGTGGCAGATTAGCTAGTTAGAGCTAGCTAAATAGGCTAAGGCTAATAACACAAACGCTTTTCATAGCTAGCTTAGAAGCTAACTAAACTCTGTGGTGGTGGGGCGTGAGGCAGAGATGAGTGAAGAAGCTTCATCGGTAAACTTGACCCCGCCCTTATAAATCAAAATCAAATATTACAGGCGGAGGCGCATCACGTTATTCACAGCCTACCACAGATGAGAAGCGTTTTTCCCGCTTTTTATGGAAACCCAAAGGAGTCATACCTAACCACCCCTGTGGCTTTCCATGGCCCCCCTGCACACACCGCGGTGCGCTCTGTCCATTGTGCTGACACAATGTAGCAGAGATACAGATTTTGCACCAACCTGACAATTAATAATTTGAACCTTTCTGCTATTTTTATATAGGGACATAAAACTAAAACTGAGGGGGGCACAAGTTTCAACTGAAGGGGCTAAGTCCCCTTTTGCCCCCTCGTGGAGCCGGGTCCTAGTTCCCATGAAAGTCTACCCACTGTCACCAGGTTCATTGTTAAGATTGGGCAAGGAAGTTTCAGTGTAACTTGTACCAGATTGGCTTCACGTCACACATACTTCAGTGTTCAGCTGACCCGCCCTACGCATTCCTAGCCTGCCTGATGCGACTCAGGTGGTAGACATCTAGGGAGAGCTGTGACACACTGGTCTGGACAAGAGTCCTAAAGTTGTTTTGGATTAGAAAATCCAACAGTTGTATTGGAAGGGGGCGGTGCTTGGGGGGCTGTGTGTTGATGGCCATGTGGGAGTGAGAAAGACATAGACTTTCCAGACTCTGAGGTCAGGAAGACTTCGCAGACTAATGCAGTCCGCCCCCTCAAACAATGTTGGGAGCTAGCCCTAACATTAACTAACTAGCATGCAAGTCAAGCGTGAAGCCGAGACATTATGTGGAAACAACCATCTAGCTACCTATTGGCCAGTCATGGCAGCATTTGAGAAGAAGCTGCTCATAGTGGGAGATGGAGCGTGTGGGAAGACCAGTCTGCTCATTGTCTTCAGTGTAGACCGGTTCCCCGAGATCTACGTGCCCACTGTCTTCGAGCAATATGTACTTGTATATGAGTGAATCTGCTATATAAACACTTCCCTTGTAACTGAAGTGCTCAGTCAGGTGACATGTTGTGTCATACCTGCCAATTTAGTGCACACACTGTGACCTATAGTCTTTATGATTATTTAGAATGTTTGATCATACAGGCATAACATTTTTTGAAATAAACGTGTGCCATATAAAACCCTATGTGCATCTATTCATATGCACAAAATAGGACCAGACTGAAAAACTCTGTTAACACACGTACATTTGGTATCTTTGTGTAATAATAACTTTGTTTATTTTAATCATGCCTCATCTCTGCCTGGTCACACCCTTGACACTAGCCAACCACCAACATACTACTAGCATATTTGTGGTGTTCTTCTCTTCACCCAGTGGTTGCAAGGGAAGCATTTTATAAATGTGACTTTTGAGGGCATTTGTTAAAGAAGACTTTACCGGAGGAAAGAAAAATAGGTAGTGCACTA